TGGCACGGCAAATAGCCGTTTCTAATGGCTACGAAACTGTAGCTCAGAATAGGTGTAGAGGGAATCGTAGGCCTCCAAACGACAACTCTAGCGATAGATGGGTCCCGTTTATCCTACCCTTCACCTCAAATGATATAAGTACAGCTATAAAACGCTGCTTAAGAAGGACGGGCTTAGAGAATTCGGTGAGCGTAGTTGAAATACCACCGAGTAATCTTAAGCGCCAGCTAGTTCGTAACCGCCTATATGACCGTCTATGTGCAACTCAAAATTGCATAATTTGCCCCAGTGGTAGAGACGGTGATTGCATGAGCTCGGGTATAGTTTATCTGATCTCCTGTAAGACGTGTGGTGACGAATATATTGGCGAAACGGGTAGACCCCTCTGTGTCCGCATGAAAGAAACCTAGCCGGCAAAAATAGACCAAATACCCCGCTAGGCACGCATAGGACCCAGAGACATGACCGGGACGACTTCGAAGTATGTGTCACGATCCTCGCACGCGAATCAAGAACACAGGCGCGAAAAACTCTCGAGGCACTCTGGATTAATTCCAGAAATCCGAAAATGAACCGCAGGGAAGAATGCCTCATTATCACGCGTGATATAGGGCAGTATATAAAACTGCTTTTCTGATGTGAGGGGCACATTATACTTCCACGTGATTTCTGTGCGGTTGGTCTCTACGTGACATACTTAGTGGAGACCTCATAGAAAGCGGTGAGTGTGCAAAGCTGTGTTCAATGTGATTGAAATCTTGGTTTGGAGTTTCTTTGTTTGGTTATGGAAGCGTCTGGCCGAGTGGATTGCAGCCAACTTGACCTTTCCAGGCTCTGAGGAAGGCGAAGTCCGCCGAAACGTCAGCTTATTCGTGAATAAAGAATAATGCCAAGACTAATAGAAACTCGGTCGTGGGATTTATTTTATTTTATTTTTTCACTTTGTTTTATTTTTTTAATTTCATTTTTTTGTTTTATTTTTTATTTTATTCTTTTTATTTATTTCATTTCATTTTATTTTGCTTTATTTTTTATAAAATATATTGTTTATTTTTTTAAACATAAAATAAAATAAAAAAGTTAGACGAAGTAAAAAAAATAAAATAAAATAAAATAAAAAATAAAAAATAGAATAAAATAAAATAAAACAAAAAATAAGGTAAAAAAAATATAAAATAAAATAAAATAAAAAACAAAAGGAAACAAAATAAAATAAAATAAAACAATAAAATAAAATAAATAAAGTGAAAAATAAAGTAAAAAATTATTAATTAAAATATTTTCAAAAATTTTATTTTGTTAATAAAATAATCTTTATTCTGTTTTGTTTTATTTCATTTCATTTTACTTTATTTTCCAGGTGAATCGCATCACCCAGCACTGCCCTTTCATACAGAACTCTACCTACGCCAAAGTGGCCTGACTTCACTCAGTAGTTCCGCAGGATACAGGACAGTCCTTGGTCGTTTTCCAACCGAAATTATTCCTTTCTTTAGTGAAAAAATATCCTATAGCAATCAGTCGATTTCCAACCAGAATTGTTTCTTTGCTTATAAGCCACCCGCTACTATATTCTTGGAATATTAAGATAACGCGGAGTTGATAAAAAGGATTATTCGGCCAGCATTTCGACGTTTTTGCCTTCTTCAGAGCCGAATTCATTAGAGAAAGTGATGCACAGAGCTGGTCGTTATGGCGATGTGGATGTTCGCAGTCACATCGACTCAAATCCAATGGAAGGAGCACCGCTCAAATGGTGAACTTCACTCTGCGTTGCCCTTTTATACAGGACGGGTATTGATCGATTGCTGCCTCCAATATGATCTATTTTGGGCCAGCAATGTATCCTACAGCAAACGGTATAATATTAGCCAGCACATAACGGAATAAGCAGAAGAAATAAGGATGATGGAATCGTATGGCAATCGTTATTTAGGAATTTTAGACGGAACAGAAATTAATTAAGGAAGGAATTAAAATCATCACCGCTGAACACATAAAAGGTTAAAGGATAAAGCTCTCGGCGTTGGTCAATCCCTGAGGGATGCGCCATGCATTCGACTTCATTAATCATCGTTTGAAGGTAGGTGATGGAATTCATATCTGGGCTTTACAATGACTCGCGGTGGCCTACCGATCTATCGAACCAGTGTTGCTATCTTCTCAGACAAGTCTGGTACCAATTTGCCGACCCCGAAGGGATAGAAGGCTTGGTGGACCATGGGCACGGAGATCGATTCCATCCACGTGTGTGTTGCAGGGCGTCCCGACCACTGCGCCACACGCTTCCTATTAGACACATGTAGGGTGGAAACAGTGCTTTGAAGTCGTATGCAATATGAAGTCAAGAGCTCAATACCACACTGAAAAACAGAGTTAGAAGAAGAAATCCGATATTGTTTTCTGGTTTATATGCAACTGGATTATAACTTAAGAAAATCATCAGAAATGCCATGATAAACTCAAAAGCAATTGAAAACAAGCTCGGAAGTGTGTTCAAAAATTTTTGTAGCGATCATATTCTAAGGGATAGCTGAGCCGTGGAGAAAGCATGCAGTGAAATTTTCATTGTTTTAAATCTAATTTTCATCGATTTCGGGCAACACATCATCATTCTACTCTAGTAATTCTCCGGTAGCCACAAGAATCAGAACTCAAATGGATTGGAATCCGTCATCTCATTCGAGGCAACTTCTCAAACATCAGCCTAATGAACAACCATTCATGCCAGGTTTCGAATCAGATTCACTGCCACATAGCCTGAAGAAGGTTAGCAGGTCCCAATCTTAGCGCCGATTTAAGACAAATGTTTGACGTCAGGCTTATTAACGTCTGAATTCTGAACCATAGGATTGAGTACATATGAAAATCGCTCAGCGACGATGGCGTCGAGTCCTGAATTCTAATGTTTGACGACCGCACCGGTTGCAGTTCCCATTCGATAGTGATCCGTACAGTAAACGTTGAGGCAGTATATGATTTTGAGACGGCCAGATACCACTTGTAAACACACTTCGGGTGGCATCGGCAACGACATGGGCAGGAACTCCCGCAGCTGAAGGCGGTGGCGGTGACCCCGAAGGACGAAGGCGGGTTCGGTACTGACTTCAACAGTCAGTACAATGGGTGAAGGTGCACGAGTACGGCTAGCTGACGAACCGAAATCAAAAACCACCGACCGACAACGTCAAAGGAATCGGGTAAGCCAGGATATTTGTTTTTCCATGCAGCTACCGCAGAATCCTCACCATCCACCACTGTTGAATTCTGAACAATTTAGGACACGGACACGGCAACCGTCGATTTTACTACTGATGATCGTTTTGAGGTAAGTGGTTCGGTTCATGAAACTGCTGTTCATTTCTACTTATTCTCATTTTAGATTGTTATTGGAGAGATTATTTCCTTTAAAATAATGATTTACTAATGAAGAGCATGGTATTTTCGTAAAGAGAATCATTGTTTCTCTACAAATTCACCCAAATCGTTGGAATCGCGCTTATCATTCTTCCTAATTCTTCTCTTCTCAAGTCTTCCGATTATTTCTTCGTCTAACTCTCATTCACTCACCGATCATCTCGATTATTTCACTTACTCTTTCCCTATGTTCCCATAATTTCACGATGTCTCCCTTCTGTCAGTTTTCAGTTAAAATGTGTATAATCCAGTCACTCCTAAATTCTATACATCCCTCCAATAAAGGCGATAAATGTGATGAACTAGAGGGAATTTGAACATATCCGTTGATTGCTCCTACAGTAGAGAAAAATTTGGAATTTTACTAGTTTCACTGAACAACTAACTACTAAGCAGATAATTTAATGTGTTTCGAACATTTGACTATTCTTGAAAAGAGCATTCACCTTCTGTTTGACAAATTTTCCGAAGTCGACACATGCAGTTGTCTGATTCAGTTAAATGTTAGGACGAAGTTCAGCAGAAATTCATTTCCATGCCAGATACTGTAGATGGGAAATTGAAAATGTAACCGACGATTTGGTAAGTTGGAGTTGGACGCGGCTGATCGGCTTTAGGTATTGCACAAACAGACACACATATACACACTTCACGGTTGTTATGAGTAAACACGAAGAACAAACGTCAGTGTGTTGACGAGTGTCTGAATAAACGTCACCCACTTCTAGACAGAAGTAGAAGTAGAAAAGTTTAGAGTATTTGACGTTAATCAATTCATTACGGGCCTCCATAGCAGTGAGCCACACGTTCTGGTCTACCAACTCTTATGCGAAGTGGGGTCTCTGTAGGCGCCATTTGTAGAAGGATATTGTTATCGGTATGACATCTATAGAGGTTTTCAGTGGTTTCTTTTGGCACTCAGAACCCTTTTTCTACATTTCCTGAAATTAGTCGATAGCTATCGAAGACGGATACTGCCTGCAGGAATTGGCCAGGAAAACCTCTATTCTTAACCCCTCGAAGCTTCTGGTTATCGTTGTGTTATCGCCCGCTGTTGAAAAAGCAGAAGATCCGTAATGTTATGAAATTCATGTTCGCATCTTGCAGCAAACAGGTGAAATTATGCATCACTGCTATTATCTCAAACACCGCAGAGGAGACTGAATGAATATTTGGCCTGTGCGATCGCTCGCTGTGGCCTACTGGTCCATCAAGTTCGTGTTTTATCCTTCCAGACAAATGTGCCACTAGTCTGCCGACTGCGGATGGATTAAAAGCTTGATTTTCCCGATGAGTAGGATTGAACCAACGACCAGACGAACAACTCTAACTACTAACCTATATGCGCCTAATACACAAATATAATTTGCAGTTTTCTCTACATGGCTTAATACCTCAACATGGCTGTAGCACGTTATTTGTTGTTCAACTGAGATCTACTCCAGGAGTACATGGTTGTACGACATTTGGATGAGTGGTCCTCATTAGTGCAATGGGACATCCTTTTTCTGTGCTTTGATTATTTCACTAAAAAGAAAGCAAAACATGATGAAGATTCCAATTGGCGCACATGAAGAACTTATCATCATAGTTTTTTAACACCAGTTTACTATCTGGAAGCACTTCTGTTCTTCATATTTGTTCAGCCGTTGCAGTAAAGCCGTTTGTTGTCGTGCGGAACCTTCTCGTAGTATTTCGCAACGTGGTGAAGTAATGGTTGAGATGTTTCCTTCCAGGAATTCCGTCCGATCGCCACTCAAATGAGTAGCAAGCGACATCCAAAAAGCCAGAAATTGACTTCACACTGGTTGTATTCTGTTTTTACGTCTTATTTACCTAATCATGAATCACTACTTCACGTCGACGCTGTTTGCCGATGCTTTGTTGTCTAACTCTTGCATAGTTGGTTTGGAATAGATGCTGTTTAAACATTAACTACGAACAAATTAAATGAAACGATGAGAGGAATATCGGTCGTGACGTTGGTGAAATCCATTCTGACAACGATACACCATCGTCTTTCACCACCTGCTCTACCGGAAAATTCACGGAGACGCTGTATTTCGATTCGATTTCGTGATGTACCTATGCGAAGTGATCGAAATATATGTGAGTGTTCTCTATTCTTCATTAAGGAAGAACACTGTCACCGGTAAAGATCTTTGAGTGGCAAAGGAGGGAGGCTGGAAGATCCGCTCTTAGACCGAAGACAAGAGATGTTGATACAATGCGCCTTTGATTTTACGCGCTCGATCAAAGACTACCTCAGTCTTTTCCCCATTCTGCTAGAGTTATTTGGTTCCCGTTAATGTTCGATGTCTATCAGAGAGAATGCAAACTTTTCGACTGCAAAATGTTGATGTCGATATCCTTTTATGGATACGGAAGTACTAGAAAAATCACATTTGTTCAAGCCGCTTTCGAAATGCTTCAGTTGCCAAATTAACACATTTTGTTTAATGTGAAGCAACAATCGACTTGCTAATAAGATTGGGATTACATTCGGTCACATAAGAAGATGTACTTTAGAGTCTAAGTGATTAGTTCGACCACATAGCTAGACAGATTGCAAGCGAGTAAAAATTCATTCTTTTCCTCCTATTTCTTTAAATCATTTGCGTTCCTTCAGAAAACTGCTTTCACCCACTTCTCTTCGTCTTTACATCTTCCGTGTTTTCGCTTCCAAATTCTTGCAGCGACCCAGGGTTTCTTGTCGGGCCACGTTCCTAGAAACGCGTATTGGTTCTAATTCCGGACCAGCATTGTTCATTGAATCAATAAGCATCTTTTCCATTACCACATTTTAACCAGTTTGTACTATTAGTCATGAACTACTTGTTTAATGATTTATTTCTGATTGAAGTATATATTTTTTAATGAACGAGGTTTAATTCATTTAAGATCTACATAACACTTTAGCATGTGATGAACGCAAGATGGAACAATCGAGCAAAAAATCTTCTGTTTGGACATTTGTAGTTCTGACCTTTATGGTGACGCGGTTAGCGAATCTCGTATCAAAGCGTTACCATCTTCCTAACTATTTCACAAATAACTGTAGCACTTAGATCAGCAAAATATGTACAGGAATGCGTTCTGCAAACAATGATATCAACACTATATGCCGTATCGATCGATAATATTACACTACGACATGCAATGATCAGCTCGAAGTTCAGTGAATGCATCTTTTATGACATCAATAAAAGTCTGTTTCTATACCTCTTTTTTAGCGATTATTTCGCAAAGTTGATGTTTTCAAGTGGTTCTATGCGAACGATTAGAGCAAAAAGTCGGTGATTAGTAACGTTCTGCTCTACTCGTCTGAATGGTCCGCTCTCTAGGGATTACCGCTGCTCGGCCGAAGAACAAGACCGACACACGAGGGAACCTTTCAGAAAGGCGTCGCCCCTTTGGAGTTATTCATAAGAATGTTAACGTTATATGAAGGATTTCTAATTCTCTTAAGGCGACTGGAAATCCTCAACAGTAGGTTCTTCACTCGTTCAGCATGGTTTTCCACAATAGTGAGTGACTTCAGTTTGATTTAAATTTATATCTCAAAAGACCGACTTTCTATAAACTTCGGCATAGATAGTTGATATATTTATTTGTATGATCTTATAAACTAGTTTTATTTAGCAAATGCGAGGTTGGTATAGGTTTTCGTTGTCGCTGTTGTTGTTGTTGTTGTTGTTGTTGTTGTTGCTGTTGTTCTTGTTAGTCGATGGCTGACGTCTCGGCGATTTCGCTTTTCTCAGAGCCTCGATGTTACGAGTGGGACTGCCATCAACCAACAAGAACAACAGCAACAACAACAACAACGACAACGAAGACCTATACCAACTTCGCATCAGCTGAAGAAGATCAGTTTATAAGATCATACAAATAAATATAACTTTATATCCTTATTTCCTTACAGTTTTTCTGCATCATTCTTATTAATGTTCTGTAGTGACTTCCTATTGGTCACGACATAGATTGCCACGTTTTATGTTTTATTGACGAACCGACAACAAAAATGTAGTGCAATATTTAATTTGGCATAACACCTTTCCCCATCAGTGGCCTACCCATTTCACTCCGGATGAGGGATGCTGTCGGATATTCAACTTTGATGTATTAGAGTTCATGATTCAGCGTTCCGACAGGGTCTCCCAGGCTGGTAAGGAGTTCGCCATTTTCATCCAGAAGCCCAGCTAATTGTAAAACAATGTCAGAACTTCTCAATATCCACTCAAACACAACCCAGTGAATCACTGCCAGTAGCGCAGATGTAACAGAGCAATCTTGACGAAATCTAATCGCTAGGTGGCAAAATTCTCTCTCAAATCAGAAGCCTGTCATTTTTATTTCGGGACTTCAAAGAAGAAAAAGTCATTCTCTGCCAGAAGATACCAGTCGATTGGCACTTAAGACGAGGTCCGCACAATTTCTCGTGTTCACCGGACGTTCAAATAAAAGTTAGGTTTAAGTATTTTGTGACCAACGACTTTTTCTAATATGGTGAAAACCAAGGAGCGCATGTGGCGCAGTGGTTGGAGGCGCCACTGCGACACACACGTGGAATCGATCCCCGTGCCCGTGGCTCACCAAGCTTTCCATCCCTCCGAGGTCGGCAAATTGGTACCGGACTTGTCTATGTATAGCAGCACTGGCTCGATATAACGGTAGGCCACCGCGGGTCATTGTTAAGGCCAGGTTTGCATTCAATCACCCCCGACGATACCTAATGAAGTCGAATGCATGACGCATCACTCAGGGATTGATCGACGCCGAGAGCTTTATCCTTTTATCCTTTAAAATTAAAACGAATCTCTCAGTAGTCTGCCAATGTAAGGACATTACGAGCAAAACTCGGAACTTCAGGTCCGCTTCGAAGACCTTTTGAACTTTTTTAGACCATACCCC